AGGGGGTAAGGGCAGCCGGGATCTGATGGTGATAAGTTAGAATATGTTAAAAGCAGGTGGGGATATTAGCTTTTGGAGTGGTTGTGCAGTTATTTAAGAAAAATGTATGGGGAAGAGGGGTAAGGTTACCTAGGGATTGGCAGAGGCATGCATAGTTTTCCTTTTGTATAATGGCAAAGGGATAAAAAGAGAGTGCAAAAAATTATTGAGGGATAAAGTATGTGGAGTTACCTGGTAAAGGTTGTTATGGGGAGGAATTAATATTGAAAGAAATAAAGTAAGACGGAGTATAGGATAGCCAGTGATCAAGGAGGCTTTAGGGAAAGGTAGGGGGTGTGTGGACCAGGTGTTTACAGTGAAAATCATATAAGTGAACTAGTATTCTAGGATAGTCTAAAGAGGGTCTTTTGTGGCATTTATGGATTTGGTAAAAGGCGTATGACTGGGTGGATAGGGGGGCAATGTGGCAGATGTTGCAAGTGCTATGGTTGTTGGAGGTATGTTACTGAAAGCAGTTGAAGTGTTTTTACGGAGGATAGTGAGGCTCAAGTTGGTGTGTAGGGATACAGAGGGAAATTATTTCCAGTAAAGTAGCCTCTGACATGAGATGTGTGATAGGTACACCGTGGTTGTTTTAATTAATTTTATAGATGGGGTTTTAAGAGAAAGTAAAGACGACGGGTCTTGACAAGAGGCGTGAGCAGTTAAAAGATAAAGAATCACACACAAAGTGGGTGGTGTCACAAGCTGCTCTTTGCTGATGACACTGTTTGCTCTTGGGAGATTTCTGAAAGTAGTTCAGAGATTTGGTGGTTGTATTTGGTTGGGGGGTGCAAAAGAGAAAATTAAAGGTGAATACTGGAAAGTGTAAGGTTATGAGGATAACAAAAAGATTGGTGATGAATAGAAAATATTTGAATATCATAGTGGGAGGGAGAGAGGTATGGAGGAGGTGAATGTTTTCAGATATTTGGGGAGTGTATGTCGTCAGCGGTTGGTTTCTATGAAAAGATGATGGTGAAATCATAGAATTTGATGAGGGAAAAAGAGTGGAGTGGTTGCACTTAGGAGTCTGTGGGAGACAAAGAAAACTTTTTCTCTTGGAGGCAATGAGGGGAAATGTTGAGAGTATAGAGTTTTACCAACGCTTTTTTGGGTTGTGGGAAGCCATGGGTGAATGCAATGTTTGCAGCGAGGAGAAGTGGTGGCAGTGGAGATGTTCTTGTTGAGGGGCTATGTTGTGGTGTGAATTATAATGCAAGAGAAATTCGTGTTTTGGAAGTTAGGAGGGAGGTGCGGGGATTACCAACAACTGTTGTCCAGGTGGGCTGAGGAGGGGTGGTTGAGGTGGTTCGAGGGGACATGTGGAGAGAATCGGAGGGAAAACAGAATAACTTCAAGAGTGTCCATATCAGGTCTGTAGTGGAAGGAAGGCGGGGTAGGGGGTCGGCCTTGGGGAAAGGTTGGAGGGAGAGGGGCTAAAGCGAGGTTTTGTATTGCGGGGTTGGACTTCCAGCAAGGCCATGCGGGAGCGTGTTTGATAGGAGTGAATGGGACATATGGTTTTTAATAACATGACGTGCTGTTGGAGTGTGAGGAAATAGTAATCATTTTGAAGGGGTTTCTGGGAAACCGGCAGGCCCGGGGACTTGAGTCCTGGGAGATGGGGAAAAGTTACCCGTGCCTGCAACTCCTGAAGGAGGGGTAGTTAAGTTGCTAGGTTAAAACTGTAGTGTAAAGCCCACCCTTCTTGGGCAAGACAGTGATGGAGTGAATGATGGTGAATGTTTTTCTTTTTCGGGCCACCTGCCTTGGTGGGGAATGGCCAGTGTGATAATAAATAATCACCACTATCTCATAATAGACTGTGTTATAATAATATATATATAATATATATATATTATATATATATATATATATATATATATTATAATATCTATTATATATATATATATGTATAATATATAATATATAATCAGATATATATATATATATATATTAAATATTACTATATTTATATATTTATATATATATTATATTTTTATATATACATATTTCTATATTTATATATATATATATACTATATATTATATTATATTGATTATATGGTTTATATATATATATATATTATATATATATATATATATATTCTATATATATATGTATATTTTGATATATATATATTTATATATATTTTATATATATATTTTATATATATATATTTATATATATAGATATTATATATATAATATTAATTTATATAGTATATATAGTTATATATATTTACATACATATATATATATTATATATATATATATATTATATTATATATATATATATATATATATATAATATATATTTATATATATAAATATTATATATATATATTTGATTCGTGCCGAATAGGCAGAACTTGCGATCTGGATTAAATAGCAACCGATAATCTTTCCATATAGGACAAGTGAAAATTTGTGTATGCAATAATTTCGCCAAAATCATTCTGAACCTAAACGAAAAAAATTTTTCACTGTGTTTGTTTAGTATTAAATTATTGTAAACAAATCTAAAAAATATTTAGTTGGGTTAAGCTAAAATTAATTGTTTTTGTTATAATAAGGTTAGGTAAGTTTTCTAAGATTCTTTTGGTGCAAAATTAAAATTTTTTACATTAACGTTAATAAAAAAATATATCTTTAAACGTATAAGAGAAAATTTTAGAAAAAACCTTAATTTAAACGAGTTCTTTCTAATTGACCATTTTTAAACATATTCGGCACGACATATATAATATATTTATATAAATATATATATTATATATATATATATATATATATATATTTTATATATTATATATATAATATATATATATATATATCGTGCCGAATAGGTAAAACTGATCAATTAGCAACAACTCGTTTAAATTAAGGTTTTTCTAAAATTTTCTCTTATACGTTTAAAGATATATTTTTAATTTATGTTAATGTAAAAATTAATAATTTTGTACCAAAAGAATCTTAGAAAACTTACCTGACCTTATTATAACAAGCACAAATTAATTCAGCCTAATCCAGCTAAAAATATTTTAGTTAAGTTTACAGTAATTTAATAATATACAAACACAATGAAATATATTTCTTTCGTTAGGTTCAGAATGATTTTTGCGAAATTATTGCATACACAAATTTTAGCTTGCCTTATTCGGCAAGAAGAGAGGTGCCATTTAAGCGGGACAGTAGTGGCTAACACATTTGCAACACTATTTTCCCCGATGTGAACCACATTTGCTGACACACATAAACTTGGTCTCGAGCAGCCTTTGATACGAGGATAAACGAGCCCGTAAAACATTTCACCAACCCTGAGATCGAACCCGGGACCCATCGATTGCAACCCGCATTGTCTAGGTACCTAGATGAATAAGAGAATTATACAATACCTGGGTATCTTTATTGTGAAAACATTTCGCCAATCAGTGGTTTTTTCAGTTCACACAGAGATGAGGAACGAGGCGCATGTGTAACACCTGCTGTCACACCTGTCCTTGTACATCATCTCTGCATTAAACTGAAAAAAAAATGGGTCACAGTTTGGCGAAACGTCTCCACATACAGATACAGCATCACTGCATCAACAGAGAGATTCTGAACCCGAGACGGTAGAGGATCAGCGGCCGTCTCAGTACTAAATTGCAAAAGCACTGGATGGCGAAACGTGTTCACAGTAAATTTACACAGGTTTCATTATAGAACGTGGAAAAACGTGCTTAAACTCCCCCCTCCCCCCACAATTGCTTTATTTTTTTTTCATGCTTCAACGTTTCCGAGAGCAGTTGGAGGCATTTTCAGACTTCAGTTTTCAATTTAAATGAATAAATCACTTTCAGTCTAAACGTGTGTGTTATTCATCTATATTTCGGTATTACATACTAGTTATAAAACGATACTCAGTACCTCCATAGAAGATAATGAAGGGGAATTATAAAGATAGAGGGGAGCTTTGGCCCCTCTCCACCTCCCCTGGCTGTTGGTGTCTATATATATAGGTTGTTTTGATAATCATTGCTGTTTTAATAGGTGTATAATTAGCCAATTACCTGGAATGAGGGCTAAACTGCCGACAAATGGGGTAAAATAGTCACTTAGGAAGACGAGTCTTTATTTTAGGAGGTAACTCCCTAGTATGACCTTTATTAGGTACAAGCCAGCAAAGATTCACCTTACTAAGATGCCTTTGTTGGTCTAGTCTGCCTACCTCTGGTGACAGTAGGGGTGCAGGAAGAGCACAGGGAGGATATATATTAGAGGAGTGAAGGGTTACTTATGGGAAAGTATGAGTATACTAGGGTATATATAGGTATAGGGATATCTCAGAGTGTACAAGATCGCAAGATATGGAGAAATATGTTGGAAGGATCAGGGAGATTCCAATGACTGGAGGCTGCGTCCTTCCTATTTAGAGTTTAATTGATTGAATTAGCTGCTTATATATATATATATATATATATATATATATATATATATATATATATTTATATATATATATATATATATATATATATATATATATATAAACTGTTTTAAGACACAGATGTATTTTTGTAAGCTGGTAACGGTTTGTGTTTATTTGGTTTATTAGTCAGCATCATAACTCGTGTACTATCAACAGGTGTCACGTTGGATCCAATCAATCACGGCCGGTCAACCATGTACTTCATACCAGCTACACTGCTAAATTCATGACCTCGTAAAAGCAACAACAGACGGATTGAATTGAGAATATTTACACACTCACACGTATACACACACCAATATTACGTTGTGTAATATTGTGTGTTTTGTTGATGTTAGGTTACAGTTGATGCCAAACGTCATATGATATTGGTGGTTTGTTTATCTTAAATTTACCGTCTTTGGGCATTCGGAGGCTGAGACGTACCCAGGTATAAATGGATGTTTATTAAACTGCCAAGGTATGTTACAGGAACCAGCAGCAACACTCACCTGCTCAGCTGTGTCAGTAACTCGTGAGGGTAATGCTTGGTATGTTCGTCTCGAGGCTCACTCCTTAAGGTTCACTTCTTGATATTCACGTCTCGAAGTTCACTTCTTAAGGTTCACTTCTTGATATTCACGTCTCGAGGTTAATTTCTTAAAGTTCACTTCTTGATATTCACGTCTCGAGGTTCACTTCTTAAGGTTCACTTCTTGATATTCACGTCTCGAGGTTCACTTCTTAAGGTTCACTTCTTGATATTCACGTCTCGAGGTTAATTTCTTAAAGTTCACCTCTTGATATTCACGTCTCGAGGTTAATTTCTTAAAGTTCACTTCTTGATATTCACGTCTCGAGGTTCACTTCTTAAGGTTCACTGATAACACATTACAGGGTTTTGTTTCCAATATATGTCAGATGTTATTGATGTGTCCTTCCACACTGCCGGCCACAGGTGACTGACATTCAATACCAGGAATTACCGAGTTACTCTCCTAGTAGACAGTGGGAACAACGTCTTGACCTCTCACAACAAACGTGTGTCAAGATGCAGGTCAACACTTGAGTCAGTACGAAGCAGTTATCTGTCTCCCTACGAGCCAACTTTATCTTGCTAGTTCACTGTGAATACAGAGATGGCAGCACCAGCTAAGTTTGCTTGCAAGTTCACTGTAAATACCGGAGCAGTGGCACCTAGTCCACTGAAAGTGACACTTTGAAAAAGTGAGCGAGAATGAGGCTATATTTCAGTCACTGATGTTAATAAATGGTAAGATATAATTTAGCCTAAAGGGATTAAATTAGATTGTTAATGTTATTATCGAGATAGTAAAGGGAAGTTGCAGTATTCAGGCTGCCTAGTCGACGCCCACTAGGAGGAGGAAGGGAGTGAGGGAGAGGCAGCAGAGTGCCACCAACGATGGCACCTCCCTGGATGCTCCGGCAGGACTGAGCTGTCAGTGTGGCTCTGGCTGGCTTATGTACGGGCCAGTGCCAGGCTTCACATGCGTACATGGGCCCCACCAACAGTGCCACAACCTTCCTCCCACACCCATTCATGTCTGCCCTGGTTATACTGTAGTGACACTAGGGATGCTACTGGCACCCCTACAGCAGTACTGTTACTGCTACAGTTACAGCGGTACTTGTATAGCACTAGTGATACTGCTACAGTTACAGCGGTACTTGTACAGCACTAGTGATACTGCTACAATAGTAGTGGTATTGCTACAACAATAGTGGTACTACTACAACAGTAATGCTACTGCTACAACACTGTATACTGCTACAGAACTGTATACTGCTACAGCACTGTATACTGCTACAGCACTGTATACTGCTACAGCACTGTATACTGCTACAGCACTGTATACTGCTACAGCACTGTATACTACTACAGCACTGTATACTGCTACAGAACTGTATACTACTACAGCACTGTAATACTCTACAACACTGTATACTACTACAGCACTGTATACTCTACAGTAACTGTATACTACTACAGTCACTGTATACTCTACAGCACTGTATACTACTACAGCACTGTATACTCTACAGTACTGTATACTACTACAGCACTGTATACTACTAACAGCACTGTATACTACTACAGCACTGTATACTAGCTACAGACTGTATACTACTACAGCACTGTATACTACTACAGTACTGTATACTACTACAGCACTGTATACTACTACAGCACTGTATACTACTACAGCACTGTATACTGCTACAGCACTGTATACTACTACAGTACTGTATACTGCTACAGCACTGTATACTGCTACAGCACTGTATACTGCTACAGTCACTGTATACTACTACAGCACTGTATACTCTACAGCACTGTATACTGCTACAGCACTGTATACTGCTACAGCACTGTATACTACTACAGTACTGTATACTACTACAGCACTGTATACTACTACAGCACTGTATACTACTACAGCACTGTATACTACTACAGCACTGTATACTACTACAGTACTGTATAACTACTACAGCACTGTATACTACTACAGTACTGTATACTACTACAGCACTGTATACTACACACGTACGCTGTATACTACTACAGCACTGTATACTACTACAGTACTGTATACTACTACAGTACTGTATACTACTACAGTACTGTATACTACTACAGCACTGTATACTACTACAGCCACTAGCATGTATACTACTACAGTACTGTATACTACTACAGTACTGTATACTACTACATCACTGTATACTACTACAGTACTGTATACTACTACAGCACTGTATACTACTACAGTACTGTATACTACTACAGTACTGTATATACTATACAGTACTGTATACTACTACAGCACTGTATACTACTACAGCACTGTATACTACTACAGCACTGTATACTACTACAGTACTGTATACTACTACAGCACTGTATACTACTACAGCACTGTATACTACTACAGTACTGTATACTACTACAGTACTGTATACTACTACCTTCCTCACACACCCAGCATACCTGCCCTGGACATACAAAAGTTTACGTAGAAAATATATTAGAGACTTACACAACAACAAACTAAATAAATCTCCCATACATCGAAAAAGTTTTATTGATCCAACCCTCAAACATATATAGGCTATCACTATATCATATACTTATAGCACATTTAATGACCTAATTAATCTCTTAGCTAAGCTGAAAAATATTGCTATAAAGTATAGAAAAAAAAATCGTTGCGTATTATATTTTTCTGGTCAATATTTCGTACAATTTTTCCATATCAAGATTTGCTAAGTTCCTTAACATAGGAAATATACACAGTGAAGTATATTTCTCTCAGGGTATATACGCGGCTTTAATGATTCACGTGTAGCCGATAGGCTTTAAACCCCAGTAGCCAAACAAGGCTTTGATAATTATCAATAAGTGGATTATTGCAGCCCATTTAAATCGCCGCCTTGCGGGGTTGAAGAGATTTTGCTCTTATGAATGGGGTTCATACGGTCTCAATTTGCTGTTTTTCACAGACTCGGGTAAATTATTTTGTGTCAGCCTTATTTTGTTATTATTACGTGCAGGTATTTTTTTTTATTTGCTTTCAATAGATCCGTGGACCGAGATGGACCGGGACGGACCGGGACGGACCGGGACGGACCGGGACGGACCGGGACGGACCGGGTCGGACCTGGATGGACCGGAATTTACCGGAACGGACCAGGATGGACCGGGATGGACCGGGAGGAACCAAGATGAACCGAGAAGACACCAACACTTCGTTTAGAGTTACGTTAGCAAATCGAGGATTATTTGTGAAATGTTGCATCAAGAAGCAAAGGAAGAATGTTACATAGACTGATGTACATCAAATAATAAAAAGAGTCACAACAAAAGATAATCTCTGGTAAACAGAGCTATTATTGAAGACTTTAGATGAGACGCTGATAAGAATGCGATAAGATATCAGAGTGTCTTCCGTCTTGCAGTACCAGAGATTTAAATATGAGGAATGTAAATGTTAGATATAACATCTAATGTGTAAATATCTTGTATATAAATATCAGAATGTGTTCCGATGCTGCAGTTCAGCCCTCCTTCAGGGTGCAGGCACTGTGCTTCCCACCTCCAGGACTCAAGTCCGGCTAACTGGCTTCCCTGAATACCTTCATGACTGTTACCTTGCTCACACTCCAACAGCAAGTCAAGTCATAAAAATCATTTGCCTCCACTCCTATTTCACACACACACGCTTACTGGATGTCTAAGCCCCTCGCACACAAAACCTCCTTTGCCACCTCCTAGGACGACTTGTACCCCGCCTTCCCTCCACTGCAGATTTATACATATTTCAAGATTTTATACATATTTCAAGATATTCTATTTTCCATCTTCTCTAAATGTTCAAACCATCACAACAACCCCTCTTCAGCCCTCTGGATAATACTTCTAGGAACCCCGAACCTTCTAATCTGCAAACTACAAATTCTCAGCATAAATATTTACACGACACATTGCCCTAAGACACGACATCTGCACTCCCTCCAGCCTCCTTCTTACTGCAACATTCACAACCCATGTTCTACACATCCAATTAAGATTGCTGGTACTACGATACTCTCATATATTTCCCCTTTTTGTCGCCATGGATAACGTTCTTTGTTTCCACAGATACCTCAATGAACAATTCACATTTTTTCCCTTCATAAGTTCTATGGTTCTCCTCGTCTACTCTCAGATATCTGAACACATTCACTTCTTCCAATCTTTCATTAACTAAATTTTGTCTTACCTCATAGCCCTTCTCTTCAATATATTCACTTTAAACTTCCTTCTTTTCCATACCCTCCCAAATTCGTCCACCAAACTTCGCAACTTCTCTTCGAATCTCTCAAAAGCACAGCGTCATCAGCAAAAAGCAACTATGACAACTCCCACTTTGTACTGGACACTTTATACAGTAATCCCACACCTCTCCCCAACACCTTACCATTCACTCTTCTTTTACGACCCCATCTAAAAATATGCTAAACAACCATAGTGACATCATGCCTAGGCCTACTTTTAGAAGAAAAAAAAATCTCCGTCTTATATATATATATATATATATATATATATATATAATATATATATATATATATATATATATATATATATATATATATTTATTATATATATATATATAATATAATATATTATATATATATATATAAATATTATATATATATATATATATATATATATATATACATATATATATATATATATATAATATATATATATATATATTTATATATATATATATATATATAATATATATATATATATATATATATATATATATATATATATATATATATATATATATATATATGAGGTAAAATAAATAATGTAATTATTAATTTATTTCTATCACCAATAAATTCATTCACGCGTCGGAAAGTAATTAAGTCTAATTACCTAATTATTTTAATTGTAAAGAGCTTAGAACAAATAGATAATTCTTTTATTTTAACGAAACTGACGTTTTGGAACGACATTTTCTGCGGGAAAACTAGGGGCCCTCTAGGCAGTGGTAGTTAAACCCAAGTGTTGTACTGGTAGTTAAACTTTATGGCAGCAGTGACAGTTAAACCCAAGTGTTGTACTGGTAGTTAAACCTTATTGCAGCAGTGACAGATAAACCAAAGTGTTGCACAGATAATTAAACCTTACTGCAACAGTGGTAGTTAAACCCAATTGTTGTACTGGTAGTTAAACCATATTAAAGGAGTTAAAATACACTGTAGTGTTTTTAAGCCGCGGTGAAATACCAACGCTTGCCTGAGAGGACAGTCAGAGAGGAGAGAGTGTAATCCTCTTAAGAGACTGGCTGGATCTTCATATATTTTTCTGAGAGGAGAGACTGTGCGATCCTGTTAGGAGGACTGACTGGATCTACGTATTATCTCTTAGAGAAGAGAAAGGAGTGTGTGATCCTCTTAGGAGGACTGACTGGATCTACGTATTATGTCTTAGAGAAGAGAAAGGAGTGTGTGATCCTCTTAGGAGGACTGACTGGATCTACGTATTATCTCTTAGAGAAGAGAAAGGAGTGTGTGATCCTCTTAGGAGGACTGACTGGATCTACTATTATGTCTTAGAGAAGAGAAAGGAGTGTGTGATCCTCTTAGGAGGACTGACTGGATCTACGTATTATCTCTTAGAGAAGAGAAAGGAGTGTGTGATCCTCTTAGGAGGGACTGACTGGATCTACGTATTATCTCTTAGAGAAGAAAAGGAGTGTGTGATCCTCTTAGGAGGACTGACTGGATCTACGTATTATGTCTAGAGAAGAGAAAGGAGTGTGTGATCCTCTTAGGAGGACATGACTGGATCTACGTATTATCTCTTAGAGAAGAGAAAGGAGTGTGTGATCCTCTTAGGAGGACTGACTGGATCTACGTATTATCTCTTAGAGAAGAGAAAGGAGTGTGTG